ACGCAGCTTCTTGACACTAGGCCACCAGAGCTCCTAAAAGTTCAAATCTACTCAGAAGTATTCCAGAATAAAGCCCTGGCAAACTGTTTCCACAAAGTTAACCACGAAGATGCTATACAGCACAGTTCTACTGGCACACAACGGGTTACTGTAAGAATTGAAAACAATTGCTTTGTTTTTGTTTCTAAGATTATTTTATGTTAGAGCATGTGGTAGAAATAAAATCCCTGTCCTTACCTTTTGTGCCTTTATTTCTCCCTGTAGTAGTAAAGAGTTCTGGTGGTGTAATCTATACTGAACTGTACTGTTAATCTCTGGTGGTTCGAATACACCAGAGGCTCTTGTGGGAGAAGGTTAGCAGTCTCCTCCTGTTGAGACTGACAGCCTCAGAAACACAATGAACGGGGTGTCACGATGTGTCAGAACTGAATGAGGTGGGAGAGAATTTGAAGTTTTAATTGTATACTGATAACTGGCTGATCATAAAATCTTGGGTTGGTCCAGAGTATTCAAGCACTGTAGACTACCAAACTATTTGAGAGCTTTCCCAAACTTGACTGACAAGCAAACTGCATTTTACAAAGTACAGAATGATTTGGCAAACAGAAGTTTCACACAGCTCTTATCCTTAGAGTGGGTCTGAATACACATTTGCCACAACCACTCCCCAAACATGTACCTTCACGCTACAATAGTAATGGAGACGTGCCGATTGCTAGGTTTTCTTTTGACGTACAAAGAAAGCAACTGTGTGTGCTAACCAAGTCTGATGGCGAGTTCTATGGCCTTTGTCTTTTCTAGTTAAGCCACCCAGACCAGATCTGGGACTCAGGACTCTGCCTGCAGAATTCTTCCTACCGATCATTCTAATTGGTCCCAATCACTCCTTCCAGCTCAGCTAGAGCTCCATTCCCTTCTGCATTCATGTGTGTGAAGGCGGCGGTGGTACAGATCCTTCTGTGGTCTATCCTTCCCAGTCTGGCATTCTCAATGATGCAGCAGCAGGAAACCTCCCATTTTATGAAACAAGGGTGGCAGGAAAACGACAATTTGGATGGGTCCATGCCACATGCCAGCACCACCAGCCAGACCTACGTGTTTTCAACCAAAGATATGACAATATTAACCTCATCTCCTTTGCCACTCCAGGACTGCTCGCCTCCGCTTCTTCTCCTGCTGCTCTCTGGCCTGTACTTGTTGGCCAGCGTCAGAAAATGAGAAAGCTGCCTGGTGATTCAAAGCCCTGGTGACCCAGTCAATGTCAGGGTCCTTCCAGCTGCCTGTAGAGTACTGTCCTTTGCTACTGTGGCCGGATGTGGTGAGGAGACTGGGCAAAGTGGGTGAGGTCCCTTTCAGGTTGTGTGTCCTGTTGGATGCCATCTTTCTTGGGTCTTTTCTCAACAATAGGTCACAATGTCTTCTTGGCCTTCTGTTTCTTGAAAACAGTAGTGGCCAGGCCACCTTCTTCCCTTGGCCTTTCCTTTTAGCATCTTGGGCAGATGGGTGAAATCAGAGGGATTTTTGTATGTCTGTTTTGGTTATTCTTTGTTATTTTAATGAATCTTTACTGGCTCAATAAGAAAACGTAAAATATTTCCATAAGCACAGGCAGCCAGATCTTAAGGGCAGTGATAACCCAAATTCTCTCCCTCTAAAATCCTTTACTCTAGATAAAATAATAAGGGAAAGAAAGGTATAAAAGCTTACATACTGGTACAAACACAAACATCTCCATGCATTGTCCAAGTCAGGTCTTCAAATGACTCTACAGAATAAGTGCCACTTTGAAAGAAGTGAAAACTCATCTCGCCTGGTTTATGAATGCCTGACTGAATGTTAGACAGTGCATTTCACCTCCGAACCCATGCACAGGAACTTTTGCAAGAATGAATGGTCACTGACAGTCACTACACTGAGAGTTCACTTCAGTGCTTTCCAGAAATGCCAAGCAGCCTGTGACTTGCTCAAAGCAAGCCAAGTGAAAGCCAAGTGCACTTTTCCTAAGTGAAAAGTGTGGACACCTGCTGCAACTCAGCACTCTTTTACACTTATGAACAATCTCTGCAAAGGAGCAGATGCTGCAGCCAGATGACCCAGAGGAGGCCCCTGGGGTAGTATGATCACCTCCTTCTCTGGAAGCCCCAGATGACCTCCTCAGCCCTACTATGCTTCATGTTTCCCCATCCCTCAAACATTATGGCCACACAGCCACAGATGGTTATCTGCCAGATAGTGGACATCACTGTCAACCTATCTGGGTGGCCTCTGTATCTGAAAGGATGGCTCTCAATGGATAAGTATTTACATTATCCTCCTGGTCCTAGCACTGACCAGCTCCTTTTTTAGGCTACCCTTCTACCAACCAGTGTTTCTTTGTACTCATATGAAATAGAGACAGTGCATGCCTTTAGGTGGGCATGTGTAGTAGATTTCATCTGGCCTGATCTGGTACAGCCTTGACATTACGGTACTTAAATTGGTAAGAAATCACCAAAGATTATGAGTTCCAGAGTCCTTTATGGACATGCAAATGTAAGAGGGGAAGGACAAGGGATTCTGTGACACACTGTGTCTCATTTAACTCTCCTAACAATGTTCTTCGGGGAGAGCACTACCACTACTTTAGAAACAGGTTAAATCATTCGGACAGAGCTACATGATGAGTCAGAGATAGGACCTGGTAGAATAGTTAGGAATCAAACCACAGCTTTGAAGGCTAATCTCAGGTCCCGTTTACCTTTCCATGCTGCCTTGCAGATGTGAAGACAGTTTTGATTTTATACTTAGCTAAAAGACAAAAACCGCTTGCTGGTGAGTTGATTCAGATCCATAGGGACTTTGAGTGCATCCAAGAACTGTGTTCCAAAAGGTTGAATTTTTTGCAAACAGCCTAGAAGGCCTTTCTTCCAACACAGTTCAGGATGGACTTGAACTTCTACCTTCCCCTTAACGGCCAAGCATTAAATGATTTGTACCTCCCAAGGACTGCCTCCATACACAACTATATTCCTCAACCACGTAACGATTGATACAAAATTATGTCATTCATCAGTCAGAACAAATAAGAAGGTGCTATTGCCCACCTCCCAATTCCTTCTGGAAACAGCACTCCCCTTTCTTAGAGAACTCCTCTCCCCTCCAGCACTTGTCATGTGATCTAAAACGAGGCGATCATCTTCCTACAAGGTCCTACCTCTCTGATCACATGGGACTATTCCTAGAATGGACATTTCACCCGAGCTGGACTAATTGGGGTTAGGCACAGTGCTTCCCTGGGGATAGAGAGATACAGAGTCTCAAAGTTGTGAAGACACCTACAGTTAACACAGCAGAAGCAGTCCCCCAAATTCTTCAGAGTTTATGCCACAGCTGTCTAATGAATCTAATCTTTAATAAATCAGCTTTAACCTCTGGTTTCTTACTATCAAAAGAAAACTCTCTAACGGTCAAGGCAATCTGCTTGTCACTCATGCTGCACTCTGGTTCCTCACCTGCTTTTCCAACAGAGGAGACAGGGTGTGCAAATGGCTAATGCACTGAGCAGCTCAGCAAAGGAACAGAGTGAAGTCCATACAGAGATGTCTCAGAAGAAAGGAAAGTTAGCCACCATGCTCCAGGCAGCACAGTTCCATTAAAGACACAAAGGGTCACAAGTCTGAATCAACGGGTCTCCAACCAGCAAAGCTCCTATCTAGGGGCCTTGGGTCCTCTAGGAATGATGCTGAAAACAATGACGTAAACCAAATTCAAATGAAAAAATGATCCAAAAGCCTGTGCTCATTTTATGAAATGTGTGAACATAACAGAGGCAGGCTCTCACAGAGAACTCTGCTGCTGTCTTATAAATACATTCTCTTAGAAACAGGAAAATCCAACACTAATCAAGTAAACATTTTTCCGAATAAAGTACAGAGTGGCACCTAAAATAAGCAGGATCTAATATCTTATTAGAGCCTGTACATGGACTGCCTTAGAAAAGTAAAGATTTACTCTAAAGACTAAGGTGTGCCTGACTCAAGCCATGTTATTTCCAATTGCCTCATATGATGTACAATGTCCTACAGCCCAAGATGCACCTTATCCAGGCTACAGTCTTTGCCATTACTTTCTATGCATCAGAGAGCTGAACAATGACTAAAGATGATAGAAGAATCAATGTCTTTGAGTTGTAGTGCTGGAGAAGAGTATCTTAACATACCATGGACTGCCAAAAGAACAAACAGGTCTGCCCTAGAGAGGGTGAAACCAAATTGCTCCTTGGAGGCAAGGATTTTGAAGCTCCATCTCACACACTTTGGACATGATGGCAGGAGGGGCTGGTCCTTGGAGATGGACATCATGCTCAGAAGAGTGGAGGGACAGCACAGGACAGGAAGACACTAGATAAGATGGACTGATACAGTAAATGGGGTAATGCAGGTAGGTGTGTCGAAGACAGTGAGAATGGCTCAGTATTGGAAAGGATCAGAACTATGGCACATAAAGGTCACTATGAGTCACAGGTGACTTGATGGCACACAACAATATATGCATGAGAGAGCTGGACAGTAAATGTTAGGGATGAACACTGAATATATCATGACCAGGAAGAAGAAGAAAAAGATCTATGTTAGAAATATAGCCAGAAACAAGAAATGCATCTCACGTAATTTGGACACAGTATGAGGAGGGCCTGGTCCCTGGAGATGGACAGCACGCCTGGTTAAGTATAAAGGTGGCAAAAAGAGCTAGATCCTCAATGAGATGGACTGGACTCAGTGGCTGCAACAATGGCTCCTGCACAGCTCTGACTGACAGGACAGTGCAGGAGTGGACAGTGTCGTCCTGTTGTACACATGGCGACTAGGAGCCGGCACCATCTTGAGGGCACCTAATGATGATTCCTGAAAGAAACGCCAAAGGAAGTTGCCAAAAGGGTAAGGTAGACATTTTCTGATTCAATGTAGCTCACAAAGTGATACAGAAAAGTCTGAATCAAAGCAGGCAACCTCCCTACTCACGTAGGGTATCCTCGAACTCCCTGGGCAGAGCACACATCAGAGTCAGCTGTGCAGTCCACTTTCGCCACGTAGACTTTGGCATCTTCCATGCTGTTGTACTTGTCCCCTAGGTCGTTCCACGTTGGCTGCAATCGCTGGCAGTGCCCACACCTGCAGGGAATGTTACAAGCACACTGAGTGCCCATTTGCTTCATTAATTATATAGGACAGCAAGAATCTCCCTTCCTTTCTTACGGTGCAGTCACAAACAAGGCTCACAGTTACTGCACAAAGGCTGTTCCTGCTTAAACCATGAGTTCTCCCATAGTTCTAGGCATTCAGCTCAAACTTAGCAAGTTCTTGCTCATGCGCTCCTCGGTCTGCCCCTGCTGACATCCACACACCCCAGCTCACCCTGTCCCTTTGCAGTCTGTTCCAGAGCCATTCTACAGTGCCTACATTTTCAGAGCTTGGTTTGCCCCAGGAACCTTGATCTTTTCTCTGGTGCACTTTCCCCGACCTCTATTTTGTTTCTATCTGTCCTTGAGGTTTACCTTTGACATTACTTCCTCCATGCCTCCTGAGTCCCCAGGCTAAGCTGGTAACTATTCTTTCTCTTTTCTGTAAGCTCCCCTCACCCCTACTACAGCAGGTGAGCAATTCTTGAGCTAACTGCACATTCTCAACTAAATAACCAAACACCCTGGACTAGAGGCAACCTCAGAATTAAATCAGTTCTGTACTTTTTTCCTAATGGGAGGTTAAAAGAAAAGTTGCTAGCCACCCAAATATTTAGGATTAATGCAATCAAATATCTGTAATACTAACTGCATAAAACGACTTAAAAAATCACCTCTAATTTAAAATAATACATTCCCTTACATATATCGCTTTTCCACACTTGACAAAAGTATCAGCACCTCTTCTGTCACTGGATTAACTTTTGAATCACAGAGCTGTTTTTTAATGCTAGTTGTGTCATATGTGAATGCTACTTGAGCCCACACTGGACACTTTATCATCAAGCACACATTCATCTGGCATTAAGGCAACTGGATGTGTCACTCATCTGGCAAAGTGTACTCAAGGTGTCTACAAGGTAACACCCATGATATGATTTGAAACCTGCTCTTTGAAAGGCTTCCTTACCAAGAAGCCATACACCTGGAACTTGTGAGTTCTTCCTTAAAATAATTGCTAAGTAAAAGCTGTTTTCAGTTCAATCTCTTTGCATTTCTGCTCAGTGATAAGCATCAAAACCTAGCATTGTGTGTGTTAAGTAGCTCTTTCCCAGAAAAATCAAGAGAAGCCCTATTTTAACAAGTGAATCAGGTAAGTGATTCATTCTCTCTTTTCCAGATGATAATTACAAGAGGAAACGCAACATTATGTTCAAATATGTATGGTTACAAGTTCCAAGCAAGCAAATACTATTCTCTGAATACTGTATTCCCAGTTCCTAGCACATGCTTTACACAACAGATTAAACACTTGACAATTTGTTAGCTGAACAAATGATTAAAAGTACAGTAAAACTGTACCACATATTGATACAGCTTCTGCAGACCCAACAAAGTGAGCCTGATGGAGGGAAAAAACAGACAAGAGAAAAAGTCCAAGTTTTCACAGCACAGGGCACTGAGTGTGCCTTGAGGGATGTGAAATTGTTGGCGTCTATCCAGCAGGCTCCTTCTCTGGGTGCATACAGTGAGTTTGATCTCAGCACATAAAATGCAATGCTCGGCTGGAGGAGTCCTGGCTGCATCAGTTTACTGAAAGACCCCACAACGGGTGATTCACGACTCATAAGACCCATTTCTGACTCTACACTCTTTTCTGGTTTGCTGATTTTGGGTGTTGTTTGGTATTGTTTTGCCCAAATATGCTCATTTTAGATGCTGTTCTCACCTAACATGTGGCTTCTCTGCCTTTCTGATAAATCACTCCTATCTGATCCTCCAGCAGGTTTTCAGAGGCTATGAATCACAAATAAAAGGACTGCCCATCTTTCTCCTGAAGAGGAACTAGTGGATTCAAACCACCTGCCTTTGTGTTAGCAGTGTAATTCCTTACCCACTAGACCACCAGAGCTACCTAAAAGTGAGCATAAGGAATGAATTCATTGTGTGAAAATCCAAAACAGACCATAATGAACCAACACCAACCTGGGAATGGCCCTCCCTCTCCCTGTCTAGGTGGCCATGATGGAGTCACAGATGTCATATAGTTGGTTTGCTGGTTTGCAGCCCTGTGGTTACTTCATACACCTCTGAGACATACAGCTGCCTTCAGAAGGCAGTTTGCTTGTGACCATGTAACAGAGCCATGTGATTCTCACAAGGAAGCATCCTGACCTTGACCTTATTGGCAACAGGTTCAGTATGAGCAGCATATTGGCTGCAGAGATGCTACTGGCACAAAATGTACAGCAATAAGGACAACCCTTATACTTGCCAAGTTCAGACCAAAGACACAGACCTCTGTGCTCACTGCCTTGTACTCCTGTCCCCAAATTGCACGTGGGTTTCCAACAGTCCACAGCAACTGAAGCAGGAAAGACGACCTGTGGTGGGGCAGCCAGCCAACCAGCAGCATGCTTTATCTTTCCTCCCATTTGCTCTCCATGTATATCTTTTTGTATTTTTAACAGGGAGTGTGTGTGTGTGTGTGTGTGTGTGTGTGTGTGTGCGCGCGCGCGCGCACCATCGAATCAGATCCGACTGGTACAGGAGATTACCTCTCCTTCTCAGCAGAATATCTGGTGGATTCGAACCTTGCACCTTCAGGACAGCAGTGCAGCTTCTTGCTACTAGGCCACCAGAGCTCTCTTCAATGTAAATCTTTTAAATGCCATCTTTGAAACTCACATGTCTCTATTCACATATTTATAAATCAAACACAAAACGGAGTTCATTTTCGCCACAAACTTAAAACACAATGGTGGTGTACACATTGGTGGTGTAGCTGATAGTGAGCTGCCCTGCGAATACAAAGGCTGCATGTGTCTTTAGTGGTTTTAATTTACCAGATGCTCCACAGGAGAAAAATGGGCTGTTTCTTCTCTTGTGATTTAGTTTCAAAACCAATGCAGGGTCAACTATAAATTGGAACCAAATCGATAGCAGTGAGAATGAGGCTTGTGTGTGAAGCCACGAATAATGAAAAAGGGAATTTACTTACTACCACATGTCCACATTTGCCAGTGTCCTCACATTCAGGCCAGGACTAAAAGAAAATTACTGCGGACACTCCAAACTTAAAACTCCCTTGCCCCTATGTGCCATTTTTTAGTTATGCCATTTTTTTTCTTCAAAGATAAGAAAACTCATGGATAGATTTATTCCACTGAAATGCTCCAATCAAGTGGTCTATTTAATAGGAATAATTATTTTGAGAGCAATCCTCCGTAGAGCAACTACATATAGTAGGATCCCTGGTGGCACAGTGGTTAAGCACCAAAAGGTTTTCAGTTTAAACCCACCAGGTGATTTGTAGGACCCAGATGTGGCAGTCTTTCATACAGATTACAGCTTTGAAATCACTTGGTATTCTATTCCAAAACTGGCTATGAGTTGGGAGTTATAGACAACAGTTTTAGTTTACTCTTCTATTGCTACAAAGTATCTTACACATCATTGGTTGTGCTAGAAATCCACATTTGTTAGTCCTAGAAAATTTGAAACACATTTTTATAGATGTGCTACTAATAAGCCGTAGCTAGACAAAAGGAGTTGCTTTACAACCCAGTGAGCAGAAGCAGAGTAAACGCTCTGGCTTCCAAGGTCTGGGAGCAGGCCTGTGTGTGTGTTACAAGTAAGAAAAAAGGGAAAAGTTTTCTCCACTTCCATGGATTAGCCCATTCCTTCTCCAGCTAAAAAAGTCTCTTCCCAACTCTGCATAAGGCTAAATTTTGAATTAAAAACAAAAACACACTAAAACCCATACCCAAACCAACTTCTTATCTCAAGTTGCTCTGCCCTGGAATTGTGGCCCTTTCTTCTCTCTGTGTAACATTTCAACCTTGGTAAGAAAGCACAGCCTTGTTTGTTTGAATGATCAGAACCGTTCAGTAAAGTCTTTTCCAAGTCAGGGTCTATCAAATTAGCAGAGTAAACAACAACAAAGCCCATACACAGAATGAAGGGCAGGGGTATAGGCGATCAGTTAATTCAACACTGTCATTTCCTCACTACACACTTTCCTAATGACCCACCAGAGAGACAGTCCAATCCTCACCACCCTAGCTCCCTGGGGTGCCAAAGAAAGCCTCCTCTCCTTAGGCCAACCCTCCTCATCCCCCCAAAGTGGGAAGTCACAACAATGAGTTGCTATGTCTCAGCTAGACCCTCATGCAAGTGATCTGCCCTGAAAGATAAAAAAGTAGCCCGTTTTGTGTCCAGACTAACTCAGCCAGCAGCAGCCAGCAATAAGAGGCCCCCCAGGAGTCACTGTCCACGTGGCTCTGTTTGAGTTTCAACGCCTGGGAGCTGGATGGCTTCAGAAGTTTGGGGTCCGGGGACCGGGGCAGTAGGGGTGACGTGACGTCTGGGCTTCTAGGGATCCTACAGGGAATCGACCCTCCTCCCCTCCCCTCCCTCAGTCCAGGCTGGGGTGGAGTCCTGATCGTGAAGAGGGGAGGGGACGGCAGCTGTCTCTGCAGGGGACTGACACCCTCCCCTGCCCCTCTACCCTGCGCCACGTAAGCCAGGCCGCCGGGGTAGCGCCGCCCACGCCCCCCGTGGTCCTCCGGGGCCGCCGTCCAGCCACGCGGTGGGGCCGGGCCAAGTGGGGGGAGGCTGTCTGCATCCAGCCCGCCGAGCTCACAGGAAGGGCGCGCGGCTGCCGGTGGGGACGGCCAGTTAGTTACCAGGGCGCGAAGAACATGACGAAGTGCGCCGCGCTCTGGATCCCGTGCGTGAACATGTCGGCCGTGTACAGGTGCTTGGCGTGCGGGTCCTGTGCCTCTGCGCCCTCACTCGCCGGGGACCCAGCTGCCTCCGAACCGGCCTCCTGGGCCCAGGCCCGCGGGCAGAAGCCCCAGCGCCCGCCGCCGCCCAGCAGCAGCAGCATCGCGGCCAGGGGCAGCGGCCGGCACAGCCAGGGGAGGAGGCATGCGTAGCGCGCGGGCATTGTGGAAGAGCTGGGCGCGCGCTCGCCGCTGCAGAGGGTCCCCTCGCCGGTGCCCAACTGAGGCCCCGCCCCGCCAGAGGCCCCGCCCCCGCCCGCACGAGGCGCCCGGGCTCGCCCCGCCCGGGGCCCCGTCTCCCGTCTCCCCCCCCCGAGGCCGGGCCACTTCGTCCCCTCTTTGGCGCCGCCCTTCGCGAGGCCCCATAAGCCGCACCACCCCCAAAGCCCCGCCCATATCCCGCCCTCTCCCCGCCCACAGAGGCTGCGCCACTTCCTCCGCCCTCCACCCCTGTACTTTTCGGGAGCGCGCGGCGCCCGCTCCTAGGCTGCACCCCTGTGCACGCGCTTTGGGAACTTCAGTTAGGCCAGGGAGAAGGGACTTGGACCATAGCTTACTAGACTCTCATTGCTTCCTGGGACGGCTTAGGGTTTTGCAATGCTCTTGTCCCTTCTGGAAACTAAGTTCTGAAATCTTTCCCTTAATAACCTGCTTAAGCTGAGAGCAAGGGTGTATGTTTGCTAAGTAAAGAAACAGGCCAGAGACGGAAACTGCGGAACGCTGTGCCAGCTAGGTTCATCTGAGTACATCCAAAGACTCCCAAGATTTTAGATTAAAGGAAGCAAAGAGCTGCCATCAGCAGAATGGAGAAAATTGGGCAGAAGTGGGTGGAGGTGGCACCTGAATGAGTAAGGTTCTTGGCCAGACCTCAACTGTGATTTTGGGTCTGAGCTCAGAGGTATGATTAAACCAGATTTCCAGGTGAAACTTTAGCCATTTACCCTGTCCTGTCTTAACTTGAGCCTGAAACGGAAAGGTCAAACTATTATCTTCTTTGATATTGTTGTTGTTAGGTGCCATACATTGACTCTACGTCGTAGTGACCCTATGATCAATAGTTCAGAACTCTGCCCTATCTTGCTCCATTTTCATGATCTTTGAAATGCTCCAACCAGTTGTTACAGTGGCAATGAGAATAATGCACTTTTGAGGGACGGGTCCCTCCTGAAAATAAGTGAGACAAAGGTTCATCATCCTTGCCTCCACAGAGCTGTCACCGCACTTCTTCAAGGCTCTTCCTGGCTCCTAGATTATAATGCCCTAGCATTAAGACACATCTGCTCAGTGCTGCTACTTGCTTTGCCCAGTGATAGGATGATAACTGACTAGGGTGTTAGGGTTACGATTGAGTGTTAGGGTTATAACATTAAATTATAACATCCATACAAACACCCCTGACCTGGCTGAACTCACACCTTGTGGCATCTGAGAGGCTTCCCTCAGGTTTGGCAATGGCACCTCATAATTTACACCTGCACACACATTTTATTACTACAAGCCGTAATTAAAGATTCAGGCATGGCTCTTGAGATATGCAACTAAATTAAGGAAAATCACTAGCTTGCTTTATGGGATCCTGCTTCACCCTTGATTAAATAAAATTTGGACAGCCTCCACAGTTACTCTTGGTGGGCAATATGGGAAGTGCCAAATGATTCACCTACTGTCACATCTCTTCAGCCTTTGATTAGACCACGTCTAAACCTTTATCTCTGGTTTACTAGACACCAAACATGTCAATTTCCTTTTGAGCACAATTCTCTTCCCATGTAAAATAAGTGTCACCTCCAACACCTTCATTTTCCTTATTCTTCATACTCCTAAGAAAACTACATTTTCCTCTGACTCGCTGTAACCACCACTTCTTTCCCACACTCCCAGTGCTCATACTTTGCATCAGCACTTTCCTTTTATTCACATGATTAGAAAATTCATTTAACTATTTTGCAGCTCAAAATTGGACTCAACCACCTCAAGGAGCTCTGGTGGCTAGTAGTAAGGAGTTGTACTCACAACCCAAAGATATGTGGTTCAAATTCACCAGATTCTTCATTGGATAAAGGTGAGCAATTTTCTCTCCTCCTGTATGATTTACTGCCTCTGAAAACCAGCTGGAAGGTCAGCTGTGGGCCAGTTTGGACTGGACAATATGCAACAACAAGAACCAGCACACCATCTTTGCCTTCAGAGTAAATTAATTCTTTTAGTTGTTATTCAAAGTCCTCCACCAGAGAGTTTCATCATGGCGTATATCCTTCTCCCACTACTATAAGCCCAGATATCTTATGTTTTAGCTTACTGTTGTAGACTTAATACCCCCTTACTCTTTCCACCATACCATCAGAAAAATCCAACAAAGGATTAGCATGCACACTTACAGGATCCATTTATTCTTGCTTCATATGAATAAAAATATAGATTTAGGAGTCCTTCCCAGTGTCAAAGTAGCCCTGGTGACATAGTATGTTGCATGTTAGGTTGGTAGTTTTTGATTGGAAGTCTTGGAAACTCAATGGAGGGTTGCTATGAGTCAGACCCAGGTTAACAGCTATGGTTTGGTCAAGTCCTATCTGTTCTTTCACACCTCAGAACCAAAAAAGTTAAGCAGATATTTTTCTTGATCCCTATTACTCCTTTTGAGCTCTCTTTCATTCTGCGAAACTTTTAGCATCTATTAAATTGATGCCAGTGGGTTATGAAACTGATTACTCTAGTTCCTGTTATCTACCACTTCTCTCATTTAACTTCTAAATTGCTCCTCATCATTCACTGAAAACTTAATTCCTGACTCATACTATTTCTCACCAGTGCTTTCCTTTTTCATTTCTGATATCTTCATGCATCCAAGTGGATGGCCATCTATCTCTTCCTCAATTCTTTCCTCTCAAAGGGAAATCCTAGAACTTGTTATAGAACCTTCTCAATCACCAAAATCTGACTTAAAGGCACCATACACTGCCCAACACCTTTCATACTTGCTCATGAAATGCACTCCTGCAATGCTTCAGTTTCACTATACCTTCCATGTTCTAGATCTCACCAACTTCTCACAATTTCACTGTAAGTCACCAGACAACTGTGATTTCTCTTTGCTTCTTGGTCAAACAAAATCCCATTGACTCTCATCCTGCTACTTTACCTAGTGTCTCTCCTGCCACTACTGTGACAAACCCTTCTCTTTGGTGAGCTTCACATCTGCTTTCCCTGTCACTTTGTATATGTAATCAAACTGCTGATACAAAATCACACAATCAAGTGGTAATTTCACTTGAAATTAATAAATATTAAATCGGCATTCAACTCTACTCTGAAACTGCTTGCATTTCCTGGTTAATTTGATTCTCCACTCTCTGAAGTGGCCTCTATACCTTTGCCAACAACCTTGTTCCAACTAAGAGGACTTCGTCATCTTCCCAGCTGTCAAAGATACATGGTATTTCTCTCAGGAAAAAAAAGTATCCTATGTGCTCTGCCTCCTAGTTTTTTGTGTCATTTCTGTCATCTTAAAGATTGCAAGTGGCCCTTCAAAGTGCAACAGAAGATGAAGGGAAGTCAAGAATAAGAGGAGGAATCTGCTAATTTGTCATAATGGTGTGGCTTCCTGTTCCTGTGGTGCTAGAAACTATGCCATGGTATTTCAAATACCAGAAGGGTCACCATGGTGAACAGGTTTCAATGAAACTTCTACTGAGACAGACTAGGAAGGACTGGTCATCTACTTCTGAAATAAAGGACTCGTGAAACCATATGAATAGAAGTAGAGCATTGCTAATCTGATATGATTCCCTGGGGTTAGAAGGCACTCAAAATATTAAGTGGGGAAAAAATTGTCTCCTCAAAGTAGAGTCTACCTTACTGTCAGTGATAGGATAATATTTGTACCCATACATGGAAGCTCTGTTAATATGACTACTATTTAAAATTGCGCCAACTTCTGAAGTCTAAAATTGAGTGAATATGCAATCACAGTGTTATACTTGGTGAGCTCTGATGGTGGAGTCCATTGGGAATGCACTTCTAACCCAAATGCCAGAGAAATTGTGGGATGAGATCAAGGTTGCCATACACAAAGAAAACAAAAGATCATTACAAAGAAAGGAAAGAAAGAATGAAAAGGACACATTGAATGTCTTAAGAGACTCTGACACTATAGAATGTAAAAAGAGGGTGGCAGGAATGGTGCAATAAGTGAACTGAACAGAAAATTTCAAAGGGCAGTGTGAGAAGACAATACAAAGTATTCTCATGAGACATGCAAAGACTTGGAGTTAGAAAACCAAAAGGGAAAAACACACTCAATATTTCTCAAGTTGAAAGAACTGAAGAAAACAGTCAAGCCTCAAGTTGCAATACTAAATGGTTCTATGAGTAAAATTTTAAGTACCACAGGAGCATTAAAAGAAAATAGAATGCACAGAGTTGTTGTACTAAAAAAGAACTGTTCAATGCTCAGCCATTTCAGTAGATGTGATCAAGAACCAATAGAACTTAAGGAAGAAGTTCATGCTCCACTGAATGTATTGAATAAATCAAGGCTCCAGGAATTTATTAAATTTGTAAACTGAGGTTGTTTGTTGAAACAGCACTAGACATGCTTATTCATCTATGCCAAGAAACTTAAAAGGTAACTAATTGACCAACCAACCAGAATATATCCATATTTGTATCCATTTTTAAAAAAATGACCCAACAGAATGCAGAAATTGGCATTAATATCATCTAGTAAAATATTACTGAAGACTTTCCAAAACACGGGAAGAGCAGTATAACAACAGGAAACTGTCAGAAATTCAAGTTTTTTTCAAAAGAGATTGTGTAACAGGGATATCATCACCAACATCAGATAGATCTTGGCTGAAATCAGAAAAAAAATTAGAAAGGTGATTCTTTTTCTTTTATTTACTGTGCAAAGGCATTCAACTGTATGGATCATAATAAATTATTAAGAACATTGGGAATAGAAATTCCAGAACACTGAATTGTGTTTATGCAGAATCTGTATCTAGACGAAAAGTAGTCATTTAAACAGAACAAGGGTGTACTTCATTTTTTCACATCAGGAAAAATGTGAGTCAGGGTTATATCCTTTCACTATACCATTCGCTTTGTATGTTGTTATTGTTGTTACATGCCATTGAGTTGATCACAACTCATAGAGACCCTA